TTAAAAAATAGTCACTAACCGCTAAATTAAATTAGCGTTTGTTGAATTCTTGGATGCAACATTTCAGTACGTAAAATGCACGAAAAATTCGTCACATCAAATTATTCAAAAAAGACCTACTTCCGCATCTTGTCGTCATATCAAGTCAGTTTTAATAAACATTTTTAACCATGAGGTATAGTGTATATAAATAACATTTTTGGTGATTCATCCGGTATAATGCTTTTTACATTCAACTTGTCTGTACAGAAAAATGCGCAGAAAAAAGAAAATTTTTTGAATAATTTTAATTTTGTTCCTACACATTTAGATGACTCCTACACTACAAGAATACTTTTTGTTTGCTATTAGTGACAAAACGGGGGATTGAATATCAAAAACGAACAGTTCGAAACTAAGGCCAAAGTAATGGTTACATTAATATGAGTTCTGAGCCTACTTTGGTCAGAAGATAAAAAATTAAATATAAATGATCTCAGAACATTAATTACAATTTTCAATAATTACCTCCAGTAGAAATATTCGAATAAATCCGAGAACCGTTAGAGCGCATTTGTTCAGTTAGGTAAATGCACTTCACGGTGTTGATTGAAAGTAATTGATAATCCGTAATACATTATGTTGCTTTTCCTGTCAAAACATTTTGCAATTTTCCCAATTTAGGCTCGAGCAATCGAGTCCCCATATTTTTTAGTGTATGAGAAACGAAAACATATTTTTGAATTACAAATTTCAATTGCGTTTGCTTTTTCACTTTGTCTCATACAGCATACAGGCTATGTATCCGCAATGGGGCTGCCTGTCAACGACTACTCTCAGCCTGTGGTGCCTAAGATGCGTCGATGCGTTCGTCATTCAGGTTCTAGTTTTACGGGTACTTAAAAATAAAATACACTTCATTATACGCTCACATAACACTGCACAACACATCCACTCATTTCAATCACACGCATACAAGCAGGTATACTTCGCCTTGTTATAGAAACTTGTAAGGATGTTCTTGTAGTTTCATATTTCATCTGTATGAATATGCGTTACATAGGTCTAGGATTAGTAGTCTAGCGATTTGTAAGAACATTTTAGGCGTAGTGTGATTTGCTTGCTCATTTGCCAGTCAAGAGTGGTCACTTGAAATTTTCTTGCAAATTTGATTCATCCTTTGTAAATGTAGTGTCTTGGAGTCAATGAATCGTTCATGGCTTCTGGATTTGAAGAAATTTAGCTTCTTGAGTGAATGAGTTTTTTTATTGCAATTTTTAGCATTCAGTCTCGTGATGCTTTTCGGTTAAGCAATTTAAGGAAATTGTCGACAAAGAAATCTCAACTAAAGATTGCAATGCTCACAATAAGTTAAAAACTACAAGTTTCTATAAAGGGAGCTGGATTAGTTAACATTCTCATATTGACCTAGATTATTAAGAGATAGCTTTATCAACAAATAATAAAGTTATCTTTAATCAAATCTGCTTTTTATCCTCTACAAACAGTTTAATATATTTTTAATTGATGGCGCAGAAAAGCAATTTTGATCATGAAATATATCAGTGGCTCGCGTATGGAGCACATATTCTATAACATGAATGCAACTACCGCTGATATATTTCGAAAGAGAATCAGCATATCCACATTTCATACACAAAACACTTTTAACACCAAAAACAAGCGAAAACCTATTATTACAACACATTTAATTTAAATTGTTATTTTATAAATTATCCTTTATTCTTTTACAAATTTGGTTGTAAGTTTTCTCCATTTTTCAAATTTCCATAGTTCCTCAATACAGAACAATCACTTTACAGGGCCACCTAAATTAGATGCAGACCGATCCTTGGGACACTTAACTTTTCTTTTTCAGAAAGACCATTTCGTCTATTACCCTGTTACGACCCATAATGTTCACGCATTGCGTAATTGACATGATTTTAGTGTGAAAGGTATTCAGGTTTTACAATCCATCAGTGTCCCATCCAAAGACATTTCCTTAAGAATCCTCTCTACAACTTTATTTCAGTAATGGTGGCTGGTTTATTAAAAGTTTTGATCTGCTTTTATTTTACGAAACAAAATATATAACTCGCTTTAAATAGTATCATTGCTTGTTGAAGACAATAATCCAACGAATTTTACGGCACATTTTTACATACCCTTGCAATTTGAATCTAGTCTAGGCTTTCAACAGCTTCACAATCAGTACTTGCTTGTTACTGTTACTCATTGTTGCTAATCAAGAAAATGCATTTCGTCTATTTACATTAATTTAAGACAACATGCGTGCTGTGCCCATTTCAATTTATTTACAAGACTAGTACGAGGTAAAACAGTACAATCTTAATTTGCAATAAAAACCAAGGAAACTTTTTAGCCGTTCAGCTTTGATTTTCACGTTTTTATAAAAAAATATATTTTGTTTCGTAAACACTTAATTAACCATTTAACAATTTTTTAAATGGCTGATTTACGTTATTGTGACCATATGTCGCATTTTTAAGCTGTTGCTATTACTTTATCAGATACTGGGATTAAATTAATCGAAAGTTTGAAAGACCTATTAATCCAATAATTTGTAGACATATTGCTATTTCAACATTTCCTCCATTTATTCGATTTATAAATTTATATATGTTTCTGCAGATCAGCAAAAGTTTACTCAATATTTTCCACCAAACATTTTTTATATTTCACAGTGGATTAATTGATCTTTACAAGACCTATACTTCTAGATGCCTTTAAAGCATGTTATAGGCATGGCAACAATTCGTTTTATTCATCTACATTTCACTCGATTTTTAATTCATTCGTATTTACTAACATCTTAAAAATGAATTTGTCGATTTTCTCATTTTCACTGGCAAACTGGATAATCAAGCAAGATTCTGATTATAACAGTAATGAGGGTGCCGCAAAATATTTGTTTGATGAATGAACTGGCAACCAAAAGAATTCCTTTACTTATTTTTTAGTTAATATTTCAAACCATTTGTTCTTCAAACCAATTGTTCAAACCTATTTCTAAAATGCGATCTTTTAGCTTACCTAAAAGCTTGACAATTACCAAATTATCTTTTAACCAAAGAACCAAAAAATGTAAACGATTTTATTTCTGCAATTTGTAATTTTAGCTGAAAACTAAGTTATCATCTGGAATAGTGCAAACTCATATAGAGGTTGATTCAGTTTGGGCGAAAATGATATATTGTTATAGCTGCAAATTTAGCACTTTTTAAGGTGGAAAAATTGATAGTTTGTTTTAATTTTTTATATCACTTTTTGTACTTATAAATCTTTTTATTAGCGAAACTTTATTTTATCAGTCCGTATCAAAATTAATTTGAAGCAAATCGATTTGCGGTTCAAATATCCGTCAACAACGTGTCGCTGTTTGGTTTGGACTTTAAAATCTTTCAAATTAAAACAAAAACTACATTAGCTATAAAAAAAATGAAATTTAAAGGAAGTTTAACGCCAACTGCTTTGTATATGTAAAATATTTAAAACTTTCCGTATATCTCAAAACTAAAGCCTTTTCAAGATATGATTATACAACATTTTCGTCTTCTATAATACTTAATCTTCATTTGTCCTGCTGCTTTGAACTACGCTACACTTGATACATGGTACAACCTAAACGTTGGGAATAAATAAAACAGTGAATTGCTTAGAAAAATATACTTTTTCTGGCGACCTTTTTTCGCCTTTGCAAGGTGCAGAGAGAACATCAATAGAAACATTATTTTAGTGTAATAACGTTCGAGCTCTAGTAGATAATGAAACATTTTTTCGGGAACATGACTGAAATAATAATAGCAGTTAAACATTTCTTCATGTTTCTCAGTTTTATTTCAATATAACAAAATTTAATACTTTTATAAATGTTAGTTAATAAATTAATACAAAAACAATATGATTAAAAATGCATAAAATCTCGACTACTAATTACTATACGTTTCTCAATGCGTTTTCACCTGAGATTTATCTCAGTTTAATCAAAGTTTAACACCATTTCCACTGAAAAATGTAGAACAAAACTTCACAACAATTTTTTGTGTCAAAGAATGTTGTTTAATTTATTTTCAACATTTCCTGTTGTTGTGTTTGTATAACGCTTTTATCAATAAGCAAACAGTTGAAGTAAGTTGGTATTTTAATACTGTTGCAACAATTTCAACAATAAATCTGTTAGAGAACAAAAAAAATAACTAGAGAAAAATTCTATTTTTCCTGATAATACAGTCAATATCCACTTCAATTCATCGGTTTTTTATTTCGAATTATTCAAATGTGGTTAATAACATACATTTTTCCAACAAGAAGTTGGTGCGAACACATTGGATGAAATTCTCTGATTCTCATTCAACGAAAAACTTGAATATATAATTGAAGGTAATTTTCCTATATTTGGTCTGTCAGATCAGCTTTTCTGTTTAGTTACATATAATGTTTTACGTAAAAAAATTTAAATATCGTTTAGAGTTGGTAATGCACTAACCATGTAGTATAGGTGGAAATCATCTACAGTATTGAGGTAATGATTTATCTGGTAGAGAGGTTTCTTATATTCTTTAGTTTGCCCAAAATTCAGCCTAAAAATAAACGCATTCATATTTATACTAGTCATATCGTCCCGATTTCCTATATTGTAGGTTTAACTAGGTGTGAACTTTGTGTACAAGGAATGAGTCAGGATTGTTATGTTTTTGTCAGTTGAGAATTGGGGCGTCAATATTGTGGGTCACGTCTATCAAGCCATGGCAGTTTTTTCTTTATCAATTAATATATCACTTTGACTAGAGATTTGCTTGCTCTACATTGAAGAGATCGATCAAAACTATAAAAAATCATATTGATGAAATTTGAAGTTTCTGAAACGAAAACATGTAAACGATTTGCTTGGCTTGAGTGGCAAGTCCTCCCCCGTTTGCAGTGGCTAAGCTGGCGGCACTAGTTAAGTATGACGATAGTCTCGATCAAAAAATCTAATACGTACTTGTATCTTGCAGCTCATACGGATGTCCATGCCCAACATGCCCAAACATTTACAGGGGCACTGTGGAGTTCGTCTTCATTTCGTAAACACCAACAAGACTTGGACATGATGCCCCCACCAGATTCAAATCTAGTGCCTTTGTCCAGTAGGCGCCCGTCAATGAGCCTACCCTCTACTAGTGACGCTCACTCGCCTCCACTTAACGTCATGAAGCAGGAATATATTGATGAAAATAGCCAAGGATCCTTGTCGGATTCAATGGAAATCTGCCATGAGCGCTACCGACCACTATCAGAAAGTTCCCTTGACGTCAATCATGATTCTAACATGTCGATGATTAACGACAACTCTGTCGATATTATGCAGCATGATTCAATGATGAGCCACATGAGCGAAAATTCAAACCTTAGCGTGGCAGAAGAAGACATCGAACTGGCGCGACGCAACTCCATACCGCTCTGCGACAATGCTGTAATGAAGGAAGATGATTCTTGTAACGTTCTGCATGGAATAAGTACTGAAGTAAGATTGCCTCGAGGGGAAATTTCGCGACAGGTGATGACTGCAATGGAGAAAGTAATGGATCTTAGGATGAAGCTTCCAATGAACGCCAATGTAACCGATTACGTGACTACTGCGTCATCCATGGTTGCTACCCTAAAGAGGTTTGGGATTGAAGATACCAGTGCCCCATTGCCACCACAAAGTGCCCAAAGTGTAGAAAGCTACTTGACTAAGATAGAGTCGAAAGACTGTGCTGGTGCATGTCCTTCCAAAGCAAACAATGGGAAAAGCATGGCAATGCAATCAATTTCCAACTTGTTAACAAGCACGCCAGCTAACATGACACCGCCTGTATTTTTAACTTCACAACAACCATTTCTCACGGAAAATGAGGCTATTAACACTATCGCCAAATCGGAAGCTGCTGCGATAGCAGAGCAAGTGATTACCGGGACCACAACCTCACATGCAATCACAACGTTAACAACATCTTTGGATGGCAGTATCTCAACCACTATGAACACTACAAAATTAGATGAAATTTTGAACTCAACGCTGGTATCTCACATCGGAAGTCCCACGAAAGCTAACGGGATTGCCATTCGCTCCCCAGTTGACGCAATTGTAGCTGATCAGGATGTTTTACTTGCCAGCACGTCTCCTCTGTTAGTGCCACCAGTTAATAACACCCAATTGTCGTCACCGCTTCTCGGATCACAAAACCCTCATAGTCCTTCGGGATTAAGTCCTGAAGTTATTCTCAACTCTCAACTTTCTCCATCCATAATGTGCCGGAATTCCTCGTCAGTACAGCCGGAAGGTTTATTGAGTTCTTCACCTCTTTCGGCGATTTGCCGAGGAGGCACAACTTCCAACGAAACGAGTCCAATGCCTGCCACTTTGACTGCGGCTCAGTCAACTCTGCTGCCCAATGGAACAGCGCCAGAATCTGCGACGTTATTGAGTTCAGAACCGGAGAAAGCTGTTTTGCTAGAAGCAGCAGTCGATTTTCTAAAAACCCAAAAGAACATTTGTGAACTAACCACAACAGCTCAAGATATTATGGAAATTGCAGCTACGTCCACGGACACATCTTCACTTGCCATGGGAGGCGGTTTTATGCCATATACGAATGTTGCATCGGAAAACAGTCAGCGATCAATGCATATATCAAAAAATGTTATTTCGCATCCAAAACCAGATTATCTGTCAATGGGTGTTGCAAAAGACATATCCTCTACTGCTGGTCAAAATAATAAGAAGAATGGAGATGGGTTGATTCATCGATCATTTACATCGTTGACTGAGAATGAATTGATAAACTTCATTAATCCAACGTGTTTCGATCAAGGTAACAGTTACCACCACTAATTAATTGGAGTTAGTGCATGAATTCAACTAAACTTCTATTTATTGAGCTTGGTAAAGTTAGATAGATAGAAAATTGTACAAGGACTTTTGGGGAAAATATGTACCACGATGGTAACTTAGTTGTGTCTATATTATTTCTCGGATTGCTCAGAACTCAATTCATTGAGAGTGTAGTAGTAGAGCACCAATAACATGGCTAACTTAGAGTAATTACTATGTAGGTTCAGTGTGCCTCGTAGGGTTGTATCTAACACATGTCTCATTATTTAATAGATATGAAATGTAGCAGCATGAATGTATGCAGTAGATAGTTTGTCAAGTTTGTTTATGTTCTGATTATGTCTATTTTTCAGTGTAAGTCATTGGTGGAGGCTTTTCATATCCGTACTTATTGATGTCAGTGGCCTTTCGAATTTTTAGTGCAGCTTTAAATGATTTAACTCAAACGTAAAATAATCGAACTTACAGTATATTAAATTTTGAATCCCATTTTATAGTCTATAAAACAATAAATGTTTATAATATTTTTATATGAAAATGTAATGAAATAGGACCTAAACTAAAACGTGTTGTAGAATTGACACGCAAAAAGCACAAGCAAACAAATGTATTGTAAGTGATCTGGGAATACATCAATATTTTGGTGGAATTTTCTTACAAATTAACTAGTTGGATGTAAATTGAAATTTCATCTCCTGTTTTCCGTGAAAGCAAATCCGAATTTGTATCTATTCTATGTTGATCCTTCAATTTTGTTTTAGCTATTACTTTACATTATAAATTATATATTACTATAATATTATGATTGTACAGATACTAAGTGTTGCAAAATGAAATGTTGTTTAATTATAATATATATATACACACAATAAAATCTTATAATTGTTATGGTTTTATTTATTACAGTTTGTAATAAAACCCTAATATGACTGGAATGGATTAATTTAATTTGCCTAATCGCATACCACGTGAAAATACTAATTAAAATGCAAGTTTTTCAAAGCGTTTTGTTGGTTATTTACATAAATACATAATATTCTGCAGTTCAGGGCACTAAATTGAAAATATACGCTTTATCCATATAACATTTACTTACTCCTACGGATTATTGGTCGTAGTACAAAGAAAATGATAAATTAAAACACAGCAATCAATTAACGCAGGGATGAGCAACAAGCGGCCCGTCAAGCATTTCTAAAATTGAATCTATTTGATCGACCTTCTCCCATCCAATATATTGTTATACAATAAATTATAATAAAATGGCAGTACATACTAAACCGAAACAATTTTTTGTGACGAGTTGCTCACTTGTCGGTGGTTTGTTCAAACATGCAAAACAAACGCGCCGCGTTTACACAATTTTTTGTGACGAGATACTCACTTGTCGGTGACATCTTATGCAGAGAAATGTGTCTCACTTTCCGCATTTAGAAATCGAAAATCTTACTGCTCAAAAATGCGCACAATATACAGGGTGTCCCGTAAGCACATGATCAAAAGGATACTACGATATTCTTAACATCAAAAGAAGACGATCTGATCTAACTTTTATTAACAAAAATGTCTGGCTCATCTGCTATTGATGGTCAAAGTTCTTCAAAAAACTTTATCTTTTTCGAAATATCGGGAGAATGGTACCATGTATTTTGGAGAAACTCGCTGTGAATTTGTTCTTATGTAAGACTCATATTTTGATGAAATAATCGAGTTCAGCCGTTTTGGATAAGTGGTGAATTCTTGAGTGTCGTGGTACAAAGACTACCAGAACTTTTTATTTGGTGGATGAAATCAACTCATTTTTTTTTGGGTTGGTGCACTAATGATTTATTCACAATTTTGTGCTCTTTGTAAAATCTTGTAGCATTCATAGTTTTTGCGCAAAGAAATGAAGCAAAGATGAAGATTGTCAATTTTATGAAGCCCGTATTGCAAGAAAAACCTTAAAGGTTAATTATTTTGCCAAAATGTCATCAAAATGACTTCCGAAGACATCGTACAGATTTTTAGTCCTCGAAGAGTTCTGCTGAAAAGATCAGTATCAGCTACGGACCTTAACCTTCCGGGTTTTGCGGCTCTAAATTTACGTGACACCAAATCATTCTCAGGAAATATGGACGATATCAAATCTGCACCTCAGAAATTAATGGAAAAGGTAGAATGTGAACGCTATTATCTCCATTATACTTTTAAGTATCAATTAACTCAGAGCGTCTTGCCAATATGAGTTTTTTGAAAACAAAAACCTCTGTACTTATTATTAACCAAGATGCTTACTTAACAAATTTGTAAGCAAGCAATAAGAATTACTTAACAATTATGATTAAGCTCCGTTACTTAGCGCAGCACATATCCATTTATTCATTATTTAGCTTTGATACATCGAGTTCAACTTTAAGATTGAGGCAGTATCGACATAGAGGACTTTTAATATTTTATTCCTGATTATTCTAAATACAGATCGAAAACACATGTGAGCAATAAAACCTTAATTTTGCCTTGCTTGGCAAAATAATGTATTTTCTTTTAAGTTTTGTTCAACTTGATAGCCAGGTGAAATGACTCTTTGATTCTCGTTGTTAGAGGGCTGAGGATGAAGAGCGCATCATTTAATTTTACTTACTTACTATGCTTGAATTCTCTCAAAGGTACTAAAAACTTGTAAGATAAAGCCACGTCCTAAACAGTTAATATTTTTTTGTTCAATGCGCCAAGTCCTGCTTTAAACAATAATTTTAGACTCCAATTTTAATGGGCGCTCTGTAAATCTATAAATATCACTACTAAAACACTAGTTAGAACTGATGTCACTGACGCTTTCAGCAAAAATGTTTGAAAATATGTACTAATTTTGGTTAATTAAACGTAACAACAAATTAAAATAATAAATCCAAATTTATCATGTTTCATTAAAATAAAGTTTTATATTTTTATTCAAGATCAAAGGAAATGATGACGAAATCCACTTTACCGATGGAATTGAAACCAAAGATATCTACAACAATGACACTATAATCGTAAATAGAGAAGCTCTTTTTCATGGAGGCAAAAGCTATAGCATCAACGATATAGCCTTTCATTGGAAAAAGGATTGCCGAATGTGGCTATGGAAGAACGCTGCCAATACGCGAAAAAACAAGTCCGTTGGAGATCAAATTAAAGCACAACTTATTAAAGGATAATTCTACTTAAGTTTTTAGACACTAATCCACTTTTATATTATTATAATGTTTTGGTATCTTCACGTTTGCATATACATACAGGTTTTCACAACGATTAATAAATTCATGATCTATTTGAGGTACTTGGAAACGAGGTTTTTTTCAGGACTATTTAATATACTGAATTGTTTTAGAAGTATATTAAAAAGGCAAAAAAAGTAACATTTTAGTAACTAAGCTAACTATTATATTTTATGATTGCTTTTCCACTAACACGAAATGCGCTTAAATTACAACTATAGTTCCAGAGGGTCTACGTTGAAAATTCTCAAATAATTTAAATCCAGTAATATTCTTTATTCAAACCAATTACTGAGATAGTAATAATAGCAATAATTTTTCTAAAATATAGGAAACAACATACGTCTGTTCTTGTAAACGTGGCATCCATTGCCATACTTGTACATCATTTTGTAATTTGCAAATTTAGTTTATAAGTAGAGTATAAATGCACTTACTTCCAATTGCTCATATTATTATTGACACACTTCTACCTTGTCTAATGGCTGTTCTCCAACTGCGTTTACACTGCGTTCGCCACATTCAAACCTTTGGAAATCCACAACTTCAACCTGATTTTCATCCAGTAACTGTTTTACTGTTAAAGTATCATCAAGTAAATATTCTTGATGAATTAGGTTTGTTTCATCTTCATTATTCGCTGTTGGTTCTTCATCGGCTTTTCCAATACTTGTTGGTGCCATGCCAACAATGTGCTGACATAATCCTGCCCCGATTTGCTCTATATGAGGACTTTCGTCGTTAACGCTTCTGAGTGCCACGAGACCTCCAATTCTGCCCAACAGGGTGCTATTGGCTGATTTACCCGATGGATGGGCGTACCCTGCGATTTCGTAGAAGCGATTTTAGTGATTTCTGTCTTGAAATTGCTCCGAAACTTATTCAAGCTTTAGCTTTATTTATAGCAATAACTATAGTTGAAACTGTATTTCAAGTAATTCAAGCATCTGTAGTTTAACTAATATAAACCACTTAGGTTTATCCGAATTATCGCAAACACGAAAAATAGTTCATAGCAAAATTACTTAAATTTCCGAGTGATCCATTCAACTTTGAACTCTCGTTTAAAAAAAATAATGTAGGGACTATGACTATATAAAACAATTGGACTATTGTCAATTTAATAATTTACTTGAACTGCTAGCCAGACGACTTACCAGATAAATGAGTGCCGTTATTCACTCTAATTCCAACTGCACGTTTAAGTGTTGCATTTTCGCCTACTGATCCAATCATTAGGGCTATTTTATCAGCCAAAGTATTTCCATCGCTTGCTTTTAGAGATTTGAGCTGTTCGGAATCCAGTCCAATCTAGGAATATCAGATGGATACTTTATAAATGCTCTTTTGCTCAAATTGATGATTTGTCTTGATGATTATTTCATTAAGACCTGTGTCGAATGAATGAGTGACCGAATGTTATAATTTTTGATTCACAAGACTCATCATGGGCCGGTTCCATTTTCCTGCTAATTCCCGGCTAATTTTTAGTTCACAAATAGTTTTATTGCCATTTTCAATATCTCTTGTGCGATATTGGTAGTTTGAAAGTGTACTCTAGACTGGGATTGATTTTGCTTCAAAATTATGTTTTGATGTCTGTTTCGATTAATATATTTTTCCAAAATCATTTCATATCTGAAGGGCTCTTAAAGTTATTGTATGCACTTTGATTTTCTTTCTTGGAGTGGCATAGTTTATTGGCATATGGCCGTGGTTTATGGCATATGTTAATTGCTACATGGATGTACCTTTCCAAAAGACCAACTTATTACAATACATACATAAAGGATCCTATTTTGTGCTGAGAGATTTGAGCAAAATAAATTTGATGACGACCTTGATATAAAATAAAAATTTGGTATAAAACAGGTATTTTACTTCTTGTTTCGGAGAAATTCTATGACCCGTCTGTATTTTTATTGTTGGTGAGTTGTCTAATTTTGTGGTTGCATTGTTATAGTAGCTAGTTTTTAGGGAAACTTGTTGGACCATTTTTAAAGAACGAATTTGTTATCGAAACATAAGTTCGCTCAAAGGAAAAGTTTCTTGACACTATTCAGAACACTCGATCGTTATTAATGAAATCGCAACAGAAAGCGTGGAGAAATGCTATCTTTTAATAAGACACTAAGTTTTGAGGCAAAATATTCAAGGATATTTTCTTTGGATAATCCACAATTTGACTCAATATATCGAACATTTAGTCGTAGTATTGACCTTATTATAGTATTATAATAACTTATAGGTGTATTACGTATATTTATTATTTTTCCTATATGAGGTGGCATGCGAGCTTACGGCGACCACTTAAACAATTCTGTTTTTATGCATGTCTAGTGTAAAATTGTCGACACAATAGAGAAGGAGAATCTAATAGAATCGTGAGAAAATCGAGTGTCTTAATTATATTTGTTGTCATATTTTTTAAGTTTTTTTTTAAATTTTTATAGACGAAAGCGTATATGTATTTTGGTTTGTTTGTTTGTTATAAGAGTTGTATCTTGGATTTCTACTAAATAATTAAGCTAAAAAAATGATCTATTTCGGGTGGGCTCTTTTAGTGTTCATCTGCCCTAGAAACTGTTTTGTAAGTAATTAATAAACAAATTTACTAATCAGCATATGTAAACATTCCAAAAGGCATGTAAACGCAACTCAATTTGTCCGCAAATCGCAATTTCGTATTGTCAATCTACCTACATGCAATTTTACAGAAAATTCTGGCATGTATTTTGTCATATTTAAAGCCTAACATTCCATTTCCAACCACTCGACAACAATAAGAATGTAGTTATTATTTGCTATTGGATTACCTTTGTGATAGCATGTGTAGAATTCGGAGAGCTCTTCAAATAGTTTAAGCAAGTTTCCGCAACTTCTTTAACAATATTCTCAAACTCTGCATTTCTTGCCACAAAATCGGTTTCGCAATTTACTTCGACCAACACCCCTTCATTATTCTCAACATTTACACCAACCAGACCTTGTGTTGTTTGCCTCCCTTCTAATTTGGTCGCTTTGGACCATCCTAAGGCTTTAGCCTGCTGTTTAAGCCATTCCTCAGCCTAGAATGGATCATATCGAATATTGATAAAACTTTACTTAGTTGATGGCCATCGGTGTACTTCATACTTTGGCCAGATCATTGTTGTGTATTTCCAGGGCTTTTTTGCAGTTCGAGAAAGTGTATCCAGTTTTCTTCCTGAGTGCTGCTAGAGCGGATTTCTCTGATGCCAAGCAACTCGTAGTAGTGTGGAAGAACCGAGATAAATTGCGAGCGATAAGCTGAAGAAATAATAAGCTTTTGAACTCGCATGTTCACCAAGTCTTGCAGGTATTTTTTCAAAGTTTCCCAACAATTACCAAAAGCTTATGTGAAGTGAATGGAAAAGAATGAAATACATTCTACATTGATAAAAGTTGCTGGCAAAATCAATGATCAGAGCAAATGGGTTGCCATAGTATTGTAACTAAATAAAGTTTATTAAACTTCATAATTTGTATTTATGATAGATATCAAAACATATAATGTATCACATACAGCAATTAGCTAGGAAATAAGAGCAAACAGCTGATATCGTGTAGAACTGAAAGGGTACGTAATTTCTCTATTTAACTTACCATTTTTAATGTATTTTTATTTTGTATGAGAAATCGATATAGCGAATCAAATTTGTAGCTTAACCTTAAAAATCTGGATTAAAAGTGACATAACAGCAGCGTTGTAGCGTTTCGTTACGTTTTCGTTTTGGTTTAAATATGTTTTAAGTTAAAGCAATTGGAAGCAAGTGATAGGTGGCAAAAACAAATAAGTATAGCAGTAATGTTCAACTGAAAAAATATTTTCACAGAACACATCTGGTTTTCTTGATTATTTAAAACGAGCGCGTTTGATTTCTACCTAACAGGACGAAAATGTAATCTACCCGGCAACATGGATGTGGTCCAGCTGTTTAAGTATTTTACGGCCCAAGGCGGGAAAATTGAATTTAAATAAAAATCTGTAGTTAAAGGAGTAGGCATATTAGCAATTTATAAAGCAAATTATTTTTATGTATTTAGAAGTTTTTGGAGCTTTTGTGATATAAGTAAGAACGTCGCGCACACTCTAAATAAATTAAGATTTTTGAAACCTCTGATGAAAACGTGTTACAATCTATGACCGCCCGGGAACGCAAAACCTACATGGTGTATTTTGAACGTCTATTGAGCGAAACTATATAGAAAATCGGTTAAATGTGGACATATTTGCAGGTGTGTAAGATAAGTTTTAAGGCAGATATTTGCAAAACTACCGAACTACTTGTTAATCATATGGTTTACACATGAACTGGCCGTTTGCAAATTAAACAAATATCTTGCATCGAAATAATATGAGTTGAACAATTTTCTGTATTTTTCATTCACAGTTAGCTTTTCTTTATCAACTATTTTGTTCAATGATAGATCATAAGCAAAATCTGATATGTGTTATTTTTTCGTTTACGTTTCAACGTCTTTAAATATCATAAAATGTAATCACATAGAGTGACTATGTTCTAAATTAAATTATATATTTAAATAAAGACGGTTTTGTTCCTTTGCAGTTAACGAGACTCTTAAAATATGTCTGGCAAAGAGGTCGAACGAGACAGATTGCTGAAACGCATAGCGGACAAAACCGCCCAACTTCAGGCTCGAACAGATCTAAACATTAAAATACCCAGATTGCAATTACCTTCTGACTATAATTTTCAAGACAGGTCAATTTTTTCTTTACCTCCCGAAATTCTGAAACCAATTTTAGCTTCAGCTCATCCAAAATATCGCAGGCAAGTTGCGGCCGAAAAGAAAAGGGGTAAGTATCTGCCAAACTACCGGTAAATTTACATACGTATGTAGGTATGCAATTTTAATACTATTTATTATAAAATATGGAAAGTCCATTTTAAAAATTGGTTTTCGTATCACAACACTTCCATGGTTTGTTAAATTAACAGCGAACTTTGTTGCATGTAAAATATAATGTGCAGGGTGTTTCTCATAAGTAGACACCCCCTTAGATCGTTTATTTCAAAAATATTGTGAAAGTGATCAATACAAAAGTTGTTTAATTTTATTCAATGTTCTTAAATCTGAATTTAAAATAGAAATATAAAATACTAAAATATAAACATTTGACATAAAGTCGTTTTTTTATAAAACACCCTATTCAGGCGTTTCTTCCGTGCGGCTAAACCGTTTAATTTTTAAATTGTATCATTTTATGAACTGGCAGACGCCTACCGGGCGTATATTTTAAAAATGTGTTTGTAATATACAGGGTGTCGCAAAAATCCTAAAAGTATCACAGGTATGTTTTTTAAAATGAAATACCCTATTTATTAATGCATTTTGGATTCTCGGAGTGCTTGCTTTAATAAGGTTTATAATACCTAAATCTTAAGGTTTTTTAAATAATTCGAATTTTATCAAATTTATTCTAATTTTCATGTGTCGAATCTTTTGGAATTATTTAAGTTATGTAAGAGTAATTTGTAGTGAAGTGTAACAAGAAATCATATTTTATATCCCAATGTACACAAATTAACTAATCAAATACGAACCTTAAGTGACTATAACTTGATTAATTTAAATTAATCAAGTTAAGTCACTAGCGAATTTTAAATTACCTATCGAATGGCATTATGACGTTAATAGCTAAGTCTATGCGTTTTTACGAAATACGCCAAATAATCGTTCTTTGAACTATTTGGTGTTTTTTTAATTAAAAACTCTAAATAACATATCAACAGTAATATAAAACAAAGGCAAGATATTTATAACAAATGTTTGAAATGTTGACCTTTCATTTCCAGAGAGTTGTAAATTCTATTTTCAAATCCACTGCTAACTCTGGACAACATTTGCGGAGTTACAGTTTTAAAAGCGTCTCTTATGCGTAGTTTCACACCGTGTGAAGTTGTCGGAAGCGGATGGTAGACAATTCCTTTGTCCCCCCCAAAAATAAATCTAGTTGAGTTAAGTCTGGAGATCTGGCGGGCCAATTTTGAAATCCTGCCAACTCACCTGTTTTGAAAGTTGGCATTTAAAAATTGTGGAACTTTGCAATGATAATGAGGCCGAGCTCGTTCCAATTGAAGCCACATGTTGGTTCTAATATTTACAAGCACTTTTTCTATTAATACTGAAAGATGGTTTATTAGAAACTGGAGAAAAATCCAACCATTTAGATGTCCCTCAAAAAAAAAAAATTGGAAGCAATTAAATATGGGCCCAGTATTCCACCCCACGCATTAACTGACCACCTATTTTGATTTTTCAAGACCCCGTATTATTGTGGATTCGTATCAGAATAATAATGAAAGTTGTGTCTATTTACGAGACCATTGTTATGAAAAGTATATTCATCACTAAATAACGCATTATCGAACAACTTTTCATTTCTGCCACTTTATCTAACAGCCACATGCAAAACTCAGTTTGGTTTTCAAAATCAATTCTTGGCAAAGGTGAATTTTATAAGGATAAAAGTTGTGCTTTTTGATAATTCTGGAAATACTTGATTGACTAATGTTAGTACTTTTGGATATTAGATTTTGACTAACATTGGGATTTTCGATAACTGAACCAAATACCGTGAAAATATTTTCTTCATATTCAGTGCGAGATTTCCTTGTAATGGGTTTTTTATAAAGGAGGAAAGAAAAAATATAACAACTCCAAATTGTGCACAGAACGATTATAGGGCGAATTTTGTAAAAAGACAAAAACTAAGCCATTGACATCCTAATACCATTCGATAGGTAATTAAAAATTGAATTTCCTGCTAAGTTAAAAAATATGGAGTTGTATTTAAATTAATCAATAATCAATTAATGAAATAATCAAGTTATATCCACTTAATCCGTATTTGATAAGTTTAAATTTGTGGACACCCTGTATGACATGGGAAGTTTATTATCATTGGGATATAAAATATGATTTCTTGTTACACTTCACTACAAATTACGCTTCTATAACTTAAATAATTCTAAAGTATTTGACACATGAAAAGTAGATTAGATTTTGATAAAATTCGGATTATTCAAAAAAACGTTTAGCTTTAAGTATTATATACCTTATTAAAACAAACATTTAATTTGCTCCTAGAATCCAAAAATGCAATAATATAAGGGTATTTCATTTAAAAAATACAACTTTGATACTTTTAGGGCTTTTGGGGCACTTGTACATTACAAAAATATTTTTTAAATGTGCGCTCGGTAGGTGTTTACAATTTGATAAACTAATACTTTTTAAAAATTAAACGGTTTAGCTGCAAACTTCCGTGCCGTATAGTCTGAATAACCCTGTATATTTTTAGACAGGTCGATTGGATTTTTTTCTCGATTTCAGAAATATGTATATTGCCTATATTTTTATTAGTCGTTTGTTCTGTATTATGTTTTAAAAATTTTACATGGCAAGAAACTAAAGCAGCTTGACATGACACAAAAACTATAAACGATAATAAAGAAAAGACAACAACGGAATTTAATGCTACTATAAATGTCAAAACAAAATCATCAAAATCACTGATTTTGTATATGACCACTGTTTAACGCCAGACATGCTCTTGATATTTATCGCATCTACTTGAATTACGAATGACGTTTTGAATATATTGGTTATGATTAATATCGTTAATTGCATCCACTATTTTAAGGTCTCTAACTAGAGTCGCATACACAATATTATTTAAATAACCCCAGATGAAATAATCAAGTCGTTAAGTTGGGGCTATTTAGATGCTATTGGATAGGACCCGCTGGCCCAACCCAGATATCAACATTTTTTATTTTAAACAATTGCTATTGGGCAAACGTTATAGTGTGGAGGAAGCGCCTTGTCAAATTTTAAGGCTACTTTGACTTGTTGCTATTTATAATTTTTAAAACGTAATATAGGAAAAACGGCTTATACACATATAGGCAAAATATATACATATTTTGGAAATCAGGAAAAAAATTCTAGTGGCATGTCTAAAAAAATATAGGGTGATTCATTAAAAAAAATTACTATTTAAATTGTAACATTTCAGTATTTTATATTTTTATTTTAAATTCAGAGTTAAAAAATTTCAGTAAAATTAAACAACTTTTGTGATGGTCACTTTCACATTTTTTTCGAAATAAACGATCTAGAAGGGGTGTCAATTTCTGAAGCAACACCCTGTACTATTATCTTCCTGTTTAGCTGCTGAATTGAAAAAGAAGCTGAAATCATACACTGCTCTAAGGAAGCAACGAGAGGAATTTCGGCAGCGCTTGGTGAAGCTCATAACTAATGTACAGGAGGACGAAATGGACATCGACGATATACCAAATGCACAAGAGAAGGAAATGTTGCGGTATTACTATTATGTCAAACACGGAGTGGATACTGTTCATGTCGCGCCATTGGACGAAAAGGTTTTAAACAGAGTAAGTAAGACATTACAGCAGGTAGTTGTATACCAATCCACAGAAAATGCATTTGAATGTTATATGAAAAAGAAGAAAATTAAAATAGATTCTAAAGGTGGTTGCAGCTCAATGAGTATCTACATAATGTATTCTAATTTTGAAGTGCATTTTCCGAAGTATCTAAGAGGTAAACATAATCACTCAAAACAGAAAATAACAGGTCGTAGTAAAAAGTTTCATGCATTTTCCAATGCATATTTTATACAGCCGAACAATACACTTTACATAGATACATATTAGACCGTTAGTAAAAACGTGAAACTGAGAAAACTGAAGCTTGAAATTCATGTCCAACACAAATTCAATTAAATGAGATATAACATTATTTAAAAAACCCACCACTCGTTGAATTTTGACAAAACAATTGATTTAGGTAAGAGGTCAATGCGCTTAAAAATAGATTTCGTAACTTTCATAGCATTTGATTTGCTTCATTGTGTTCCAATTTAGTATCTAATGTCAAATAAAACTTGTATTTTTAATTGGAATTCTGCACTATTTATTGAATGTTTAGGTTCCCCTCAAATTTATCTGCCAGACTGTTTAATAGCAGCGATCTCTTTGAGCAACCAGCTGCATTGTTTGGCTTTCAGTTATCGAATTAAGTCTCGTCAGCGCAAAAAGTTATAGTTTAACTCTCATAATCTATTTCGCTTTTTTGATGCATTTAACTTTAATTGAACTTGATTTTTTTTTACCTTCAGAAAATAGGTAGCAATTAGTACAAACATGAAGTGACCTGATGGTGCAGAAGTAAAACGTTGGTATTTGAAACACCTACGCCGGATTATTTAGATTCTCAACAATAATTTTCGCTGTATTTTTGTTTTCATAGTTTTAAATTAATAATTATTCATTTAATTAAAATAAAGAAGCCGTGTACAAACTGATTGGTGAAACGATTTAATACTCTTTGCACTAAATTTAATAAGAAAGTTTCGCATTGAGTGAGCGTGTGGTAGTCTGGTTTTAGGATTGCATTGCATACTAGCATATTGTATTGAGCTCAAGACTTATTTCATATTCTTTATTTTCAGTTTTTTAAAAATCGATCGCTATTTTTTAATGTCAGTTTGCTATTAGCCTCATTTATTTTGAGAAAACTTGTCTGGCAGTATCGAACTAAACCTTCTGATATACTTTTTATATAATGGAAAACCTGAATCTACAACTATAAATTATTCATAAACAAAACAAAGATAATGTTCTCCAAAAAGAAGCTTTAATGCAAATGTCCAAAAAACAAAATCATTCGTTTCAGTTCTGACTAAATTAAAACTGCTGGTACACGAGCAACATTAAGAGTCATTTAAACAATTTGCTCTTGGCTTTACTCTCCTTTTTGTTAGTGTGCATATATATTTTTTTAATTTCCGCAGGTTTTATCTCTAGTTCCAAGGCGATTGATGGGATGGGATGAAATATTGAAAAAAACTATTACCGACATCAGAGACGATTTTATGATGGCCAATAAGAAAGCTATTATAGACTTCGTCCTGCAAGACCCGGCTTTTATAACGGGTATTCAGGATGATACCTCTCCCTTTCAAGTGGAAAGAAAGGAAATTGGCAACAGTTTTAGGCCAGCCTTCGATTATGCCAAGTTTAAACTGGAAAGAAACCTGCATGTTATAAACCCATGCCTTTCAATTTTGCTTGATATTTGGTATAGCAGATTTAGGTAGGAATTATTCAGACTGTAAAGCATTTGATTCAAGTTTCGCATTTTAGAAACAAATTATAAATTTTACTCACGTTTGGTTCACTACATTTGCAAAGTTCCTTTTCCAATTAAACCTACCTCCATAGCTGAAAAAAACGAGAAGATTATACAAAAATAATATATATACCAACTATAATATCAATAAAAATTGTCCAAAATACCGCTGAAATTTAACTTGCAACATTTCATATATGAATGATCATCATCAAACAAAAATAACATATGATTTATAATTGAAAATGTTTCATTACGGATCAGATTGCGATCTTTTTTTGAACATTTATTTCAAAATATTTACCATTTATTTGTTATATAGGGTGATTCAAAATCAAATGATTGAAGGCATTATTTTAAGATCTAACGCTCTGATAAGTGAGGACTCTTGAGAACATCATTACAGAACATAAAAATTAATTAATATATTTTAAATCCTATGCAATATTTAAGTGAAATTTAGAAAATGTCAATAGCAAAGTAATTGTTTCGAACAAAATTGAAAAATGTCGTTTTGTCTGCCTTCAAGTTTTTCCATTGACTTGATTTCTTGTCGATAGTTAGCTGATCATACAAATCTTTTAACATACCTGGCTAGGAAGGGCGAGACCTATGAGCTGCAATTTTTCTTGATTTGAAAGCCTTAGATTTAGTATTCTCGAAATATTTAAAATCATTAGTCTATGGTACAGTGACTAAGGGGTCACGAAAAAATACAGCTACAGATGAATTCAATTTCAATTCAATAAAATAATTTACAAAAAGTTTAAATATTCTCGAAACAAAAATGTTTCAGCTTGGAAATGGCACATGGGCATTTTGAGAAGTCTTACGTAACAGTATTTTGCCCTTTTGCTATAAGTTGTTTTTGTACCTTTGTATACTTTAGGATGTGATTTTAAGACGAAAAGTTCTAATAAATTAAGGCCCTTAAAAGCATCGTTACGAAAATACAGGGTGTTAAAGTTTTATATAAAAACATCGAGTAGTTTAGAATATATGAATACATTGTCTTGTTTTTTTAATAAAACGTGCACACATTATAATAATATCACTAATAATTGCACAGATGATAAAAATCACTTTTTAATGTATTCAAGAACACACAAGAAATTTATAGCTAAACTATAAAATATTGTTACATAGAACGTTCAAGATGTTCTTCCTCCAGTTCCAAGCCGGTACATTTTTGTCTTGAGAATGTTAATATTAAAATTAAAATATTCAAAAAAATAGGAGGCTAAAAAACAATGATTTTCCATTTTTCTGAAATGGTTAATTTTCGTAATTTGGTGCATGTTGTTTTCTTTTTACATATTTTACATTTTGGTGGTCATATTTTGGTAGTCTATAATATCTGCATATACATTGCAGTTACAGTAAGTATTAGTCGTTACTGTACGGACAGTTTAAATGACCCTATTCTAAAATAATAGTCAGAATTTTATTGTTCACGGCATGCGCAATTTCTGAATATACTCATTTACTTATATCTTTATAAGAATATAATTTTTTTCAGAAAACTCCGTCTGATTGATACAAATGAATTCAAGACCCATGAAGGATCCTTTGACTTACAAGACTTTAAATATCTTTGCAAAAAACACGTCGACAAGTGCAGGAGCATTTTGATTGATCAATACTATTATGCCGTGACTGACGTTTTTCTTCAAGGATCGAAGAAAAATAAATTACCGGATCCCGCAAAACCCCGAAGAATGAAATCGTTTTACAACTCGGTAGCCACAATTATGACTAACCAGTTGCAAATATTGTGTCTGAAGTCCTTGTATGATTATGTTCAGTACATTACTGACATTAAGGTATCTACAGCAAGAAAGTACTTAAAACATACTTGTATTAAGGTATAGGTACTTAAAAAAGTAGCATCCGCCTAACCATCAATAAAACCAATGCAACATTAAGAATTTCTTGATAATTTTTTTATAATTAAACGACTTTGGTATGTTACCAGCTTGTGCTGTTAAATTGTGGCTAACTCAAATTTATAAAACTCGCAAATGTCTGCGTTGTTGTATCGTCAGAAACATATGTGTTAAGATCCTGATAATAAATTTAAAAAGATGCCCAAGTCGCTTAAGTGCAGTTAAATAGATTCACAGTTTTTGAGGTGTTGGCACTCTTCGCCTTTGCTATTTCTTTTGTCATAATTTGCATTGCTTTCTTATGATTTAAGCATTTTTAGCATAAGTGCTCAAACTATGCGTGATTGGATGCGTAGGCTACATTTTAAACAGAACCGGGAAAACTGCTCTTTGTTGTTCGTAGTAATAAGAATGAACTAGAAGTAGCTCTTGAATCGTTTTCTTCTCTCAACTTAGAATAATGTAATGTGTGACTCCTTTCGCAACATATTCTTTAATATTGCAAATCAGTTTTCATGTTTCAACTATTGATCAAATAAAAATGTTCATTTAATTTTAGTTCTCAAGTAAAGGATTTCAAATAAAGCTGGTTCAAAGGATGAACATCCTGTCTTTTGAGCCCCCTTTCAAGAACTTCCGAGATGTGCTAATACACGAGATAGATGCGATCGTTGACGCGGTAATGGATATTCCGCGACTAGAAACCAAGCTTTACTTGGACTGGGTGGAACCAATTGAGTATTTAAAAGTGAGTAGTAGTTTGAGTTTATTATACACTGTGCTTCAAAATACATATCGTACCTCTGAAGAAGTAAGGTCTTTAGAAAGGTCACAATGATATCATTAAATAAGTTGGTGTTCATGTAATTCTATGATAATTTACTATTTTCTTTTCATATTACATTGCCAGTATTTATTGTGTAAGTTTTCTTACGTGCTCTCATAACTCCAAACAGAAAACTCTTATCCTATGAGGTTCTTTTCCGACTTGAGTTCTGCGTGTTTTCTAGATTTCACACATTCTTCCGTTTACTAAATTTTCCAGTTTGATATGGCCGCGTCATTATAGCATCGAATCATTTGCGAAGTGGAAATTTTTGGAAAATCAGTCCAAAAATAAAATAATATAAAAATTAATTAAATTTACGCAATGATAGGTAACCGTGATGGCTAATATACAAGGTGTCCCGTAAGCACATGAGCAAAAGAGTAATGCGATATGCTTTGGATCAAAAGAATACGATCTGACCTAAGTTTTATCAAAAAAAAGTCTGGCTCCTCTGCTATTGATTGGTCAAAGTTCTTCAAAAAAGAAGAGACAGTCAAAGACTCATATTTTGATGAAATAATCGATTTCAGCCGTTTTAGACAAGTGGTGAATTCTTGATTGTCGTGGTACAGAAACTACCAGAACTTTTTATTTGATAGATAGAATCAAGTCATTTTTTTTTTGGTTGATTCACTAATCATTTATTCACAATTTTGTGCTTTTTGTAAAATCTTGTAGCATTCATAGTTGTTTCTTTCAAAATTCAAAAGTTCAAAAAAATGTCTATTTCCTTGCCACTTAACAATGTTAGACATTAACTGCAAATATGCAGCGCGTAAACGCATATACTTTCAAGCAAGTTGTCTTCGAAAAACTCTAATACTTTGACCATGTCGGTCACTTCTTCATTAGAAAAGGTCATTCGAGACGAATTTGTGAGATTGATTGACAATTAAGTTATGCCTCGTAACACGGTATTGTTAATGTCTAATATTGATGTGGCAAGAAAACAGAAATATTTTTTTTACTTTAGTTTTTTTTAGCAATAACTATGAATGCTACAAGGTTTTACAAAGAGCACAAAATTGTGAACAAATGATTAGAGCATCAACAAAAATACTGAGTTGATTTCATCCACCAAATAAGAAGTTCTGGTCGTTTTTTTACCACGACACTCAAGAATTCACCACTTGTCCAAAACGGATGAACTCGACTGTTTCATCAAAATATGAGTCTTACATAAGAACAAATTCACAGCGAGTTACACCAAAATACATCGTACAATTCTCCCGATATTTCAACAAAGATAATTTTTTTGAAGAACTTTGACCATCAATAGCAAGGGAGCCATACATTTTTCTTTAATAAACGTTAGGTCAGATCGTCTTTTTTTGATGTAAAGAATATCGTAGTATCCTTTCGATCATGTGATTACGGGACACCCTGTATAGTGGGTAAAATTTGGTTTGAAATTACCAAGTTCCAGTTTGGGATAATTATCCAAGAAATATTTCCTGGGGAAAAAAACGATTTACCCTGCTTCCTTTAGCAATTATTCTTTTGAATTAGTAACTCACGACAAATTCATCACATTTCACGTTGTTCAGTTCGCTATTGGAAAATTAAATATAAAAGTGTTTGTAATAAGTTTGCTTTGTGTTTCAATATTTAGGTGGATGCTTCCTTTATCGCCGTTCTTAAATTTTTAGAAATTATTATATAGGGTGGTCTTCAACTAAAAAAACTGGTTAAAAATCCATTTAAATAAACGAACATTTTATTTACTTACACTTTGACACCCTCTGTTTTATTCGTAATATTTTTGTTTAAACAATATGTCAGAAAATTTTGTCACATTGGTTGAGAACCACTCTATATAGAAAAGTAACTTTTCCATGAAGAAACTCTCCGTCATTTTATCAAATTTTGTAGAGTTTTTACTGGAATGTTTATTTTGCCTCCCGACTCCTTTCGACTCCTCCTGACTCGGTTCATTGACCATTGAGCTATTTTAAAATAATAAAACCCCAATATTGAAATGTGATATGTTTCTCATTCTTGTTATATTTGCTTTTTTTAATATTTATAGTTTAATTTTTTCAATATTTAGTCCAAAGCGTATTTGGTGTTTCACTTGCGTCCTCCGTTCCAATACATGCTGCAATGCGTGGATTATATAACAAACATACTAATTTGTAAATTTAAATGGAAACCTGAATTTTCATAGAATTAATTCATTTAAAAAATCAACATTACAAATTACCGAACAGCTCAAAAACCAACTAACTAATTATTTAAATCTTTTAAAGCATTATAAATTATTTTTTCACAAACTGTTTGTTGGGTATTTCGTCTCAAAAATTTTTGTCTTAAAAAAAGACAGAATTTCCTCACGTTTATTATTACAGATTGATAATTTTTTTTGATAAGTAATTCGTTCTTTTTGCGAGATAAGAGCACTGTTTATCAATCTGTAATAAAAGACATAAGGAAATTTTGTCGTTTTTCAAGATAAACATTTTTGAGGCGAAATGCCAAATAAACAGGTTGAAAAAATGAATCCGCCTCGACAATATAGAAAAAAATTGACTGAATTTGTCTTTTGTCTGAAACAATTATTGAACAAGTTTGTTTCGTTTGTTGTTATTAAGAGTTGAACCAATATGGCAACTTCAATACATTTTTTAGCCAACAATTCCAAATGAGACTATAGACATTTACAAGCAAGAAATTAAAGATTTGCTGGAAAACCAACGAATCGGACCTGAATTACGAGTTCAGGATTTCGACGAATATATGCCCCTCATCAACGGAGAAGCGGAAGATGAAGTGAACGCGTTTTTAATCGAGGACCATAAGCTGGAGCAATACGCTAAGCAAATACTAAAATATAAGGAGATTATGGATAGCGTCCCATTGGCCAATGAGAGCGTAATCACAATGGAAATGTATGACATGAATAGGAGCGAGTTGATTAAAGCGCTTGAAATGCAAGCTGAAAACTTTCGGGATAAACTAATACAAAAATGTATTAAAAGCTATCAGCAATTGTGCAAACAGTAAGTTTTAATGTGTGACACAAACATAAATGAATAATTTTGACTTACTATATCCACTAATTCCACTGCTTTCATCTTCTTCGGAAACTGTTTCACTATATAGTTATATCGTAATTCTCAGTCATATCACAAGATAAGTACATCCTTAAGTTAATCGCTGGGAAATTAATTAATTTCCCGGAAGACATTTACCCATTCATTTACTTAGAGCTCTATTTTACACTAACGAAATTAATAGCCGGATTTAATGAGAATTAATTATACCCGCTGTATAGGTTGGGAGAGGAATATCAAGCCATTTCCGATAAAGCATTGAGTGTTCCAACCAATACTGCCGAATTAATGGATTTAATAAAATTTGTGAACGAAGTGGAGACTGTAACATTGTACCAAATGGAGGATCGACTGAGAGAAGTTATGGATTATATGATTTTTCTTGCCGATCATTGTATATTCACTCCAGTTGAAATGAAACAGAATAACATAACGTTTCAGTGGTGAGTGAGTGGTTGATTAAGAGAAAATAATCTTGGTGAATATTAATTTATTAGTTTAAATTATTACTGCGAAATGTCTTTTGATTAAACTTTTTACTGTACCATTCATGAGGTTATTTAAATATATTTTTTAAATCAGGCAATCGATAAGTTGCCACGACTAAAGCTGCGTTGAAGTTTTCTTTTCTGCTTCCCCTTTTAACGGGTTATTTGTGTCCACCACCCAGGTACTTGCATATGCCAAAAGTAATTGAAGAGCATCGTCAGATGATTGACTCAAAAATGGAAGAATTCCAAGCTCAATTAACAGTTAAGATCGAAAAGTTCCAGGAAGATTTGGAATTGTACGCGAAAATGGTAGATGAACTTCAATACAATGGCAACATCGAGGATTTGCCAAGATATCATAAAAAAACAACAAAATTGGATGAAAGGTTTGGACTTTTCGAGAACCGAGTTTTTAATCTATTTAGTTTTGGTTAAAAACAGTTGCATTATTTTCAAGAATTGTTCCTGAATTTAATTAAATCATGATTTGTTAGGTTTTTAACGATTCCTACAAAAATCAGTAATACATAAGTTCCGAAAAGATGAAGAAGTAGAGTAGCTTCCGAAGCAATAGAAACTTTTTTTAAATTGTTTTTTCAAACAGGATTTATTGGATTATACGCAAAGTTATCGTTATAAGCAGTTTACTATAGCATTTTATTTGTAAGCTGAATTCAAAGGTTTTGAATATTATTCCTAACTCTTCATCGAGCAAAACGGCTTTTAAAAGTTTGCCTTCAATCTGAAGCGTGCCTTTCTTGTTGTGCATTTTAATTATTTACAAGTTTGCATTAGTTTGCAACACAGAAATTTGCGAGTCTTCTTTTGCGATAATTTGAACGAATAATCTATTGCTTGAGAAAGAAAATTGATGCAGATGATATAACATGGATAAGTGGAATAATTTCTGAATTCCGAAAATATAAATGAAGAAGGGCAGAAAGTCCGGTTTGGTCGATAGCTATTTCTACGGAAATGAGGATTATTATTATTATTAGTATTATTACTATTATTATTATTATTAGTATTATTATTATAAATTAATATTGAAAACCATAAAAATATTCACTTTGGCTCATATATCTTTCGGAAAATGAAACGTTTCCAACATAGATTTATACAACATTTTTAACATTATAATGTCTTATGATAAAGTCAGTCCCCGCATATTTTTAGATGTTCAAATATAACTGATAGCAATAATAGAAGTACTTCGTTCAGAAATCAATCTGTCCAATTTAATTTTTTGTATATTTTTTAAATTTCAAACGTATCGTTTTTGAAGTGTCGGATAGAAAAATCATCACTTACTAATTGATTGATATTTAATTAACTTTTATAACGCTTCAGATTAGTTCAAGCAATGGAACGCATCGAACAATTTAATGAAGAAGAAGCCGCATTTAATTTCGAGTTATCTCAATATCCACTTCGAAAGCAAATTTACGACAAATTAGCTCCATATAAAAAACTGTACGATAACTCTACTGACTTTATTAACAAACACGAACTGTGGATGAAATCTAAAGTTGGAACGTACGATCCTGAGGAAATAGAAACTGATGTTGGCACATACTACAGAAATGTTTACAAGCTGGAGAAAGTGTTCAGCGAAACACCTGCTACTCTTAATTTAGCAACGACGGTATGAAATCTTTATTTGAATTTCTTTTCCTAAAGTGTAATATTTCATTTTCACTTTCTTTATTCGTTCTTTATTATTTAATTGAAGTTCCTTGTCAACTGATTTCAAATTTCATTTTTTTGTGGCCTTTTAGATCATCCACAATATAATTTTTTTATTGAAAACTGTCATCTGAATACCAAATTAGTAATATACATTTTTGTACTGGAAGATAAACGGAAGCTTACTTAAAGTTTTTCAATTATAAATGATAATGTATTTCATGTCCGACCATTCACTCGTGGTTGGGTGTTTTATACAGTTTTTGAGAAATATATGTTTTTTTTTTAATTGTCTGCTGATAAAAGTCTTCCATATGTGCAAAAATGTACAAGAGAATAATTATTGCAGGTAAGAGAAGAAATCGAGGAATTTAAGGAAAATATGCCGATTATTCAGACCTTGGGTAACCCGGGAATGAAAGAGCGGCATTGGGAAAAAGTTTCTGAAATAGTTGGATTTCCCATTAAAGGTGAGCAAATATAATAAACATCCGTGTACTTCAGAAGCCATTATTTAAAAAAAAAAATTGAGTTGGTGGTTAAATTCTCTTAACAAATTAGGCCACTTGCATTTTCCAATGTCTATAACATATAATATATGTTCTTATTATCAATGTACAACACGCTTTGTACGTTAAAAGTCCGCCAGATTACTTGACTGGCGTTCATCTTATTTAAGACGCATCGAATTAACTATCAATTTTCTTCAACTCAACCGAGCATTGCTAACTGAACTTCAACTGAAACGAGTTATTTCACTTAATTTTATTGTTTCAGTCGATGATGATTTAACTTTGGAAAAGATCATTGACTATGGTTTGAACGACTATATCGAAAAGTTTGAAGCAATATCAGAAGCAGCTACCAAAGAGAACAACTTAGAGAAGAACTTGAACAAAATGATTGCGGAATGGACGGATATGGAATTTGTTATCCTTGTGTACCGAGATACCGGTACTTACATACTTTCCGCTGTTGATGATATTCAAGTGCAGCTCGATGACCACATTGTTAAGACACAAACCATGAAAAATTCTCCATACATTAAGCCATTCCAAAAGGAAATATTGTAAGTGATGTTTAATTAGGAGTTTTAACTGTTTTTCTCTGTTTCTTATGAGAAATTATGAACGAAATATACGAATAAATACAGTTTTCAAAAGTCCTTTTATAATAACTTCAATAACTGACACAAAAGTTATTCTGATATCACGGACCTTGTTCTCATACAAAAGTAGACATTCACTCATAAAATCCGTATTTATTTTAAAGATGTATTTTAGTGAAAGTTAAAAAAATTATTGATATTTGTTTTAGTTCATGGGAAAGTAAACTTCAACTGCTGCAAGAGATACTCGATGAATGGCTCAAAGTACAGTCCACTTGGATGTATTTGGAGCCAATCTTCTCGTCTCCGGACATACAGCAGCAAATGCCGGAAGAAGGACGAAGATTTAGTGCTGTTGATAAAATATGGCGTGATTTAATGAAGACGGTGTTTGGTGATCCGAAAGTTTTGTCAGTGGTTGAAATTGATAAAATGGCCGAGCGGTTGAAGAAGTGTAACAATTTGCTGGAAATGATCCAACGAGGTCTCAATGACTATTTGGAAAAGAAGCGCCTGTACTTTCCTAGATTTTTCTTCTTGTCCAATGATGAGCTGTTAGAGATTCTGTCTGAGACGAAAGATCCAACAAGGTATGTGTTAATTTTGGTGAGAGTGATTAAGTGGTGATTTGTTACATTAAGTGACAGTATTGCACACAATTTTTTCGTAGTGTTCTTAAATTTTCCAAATTCGTAATCTGTTAAATTCTTCACTTTGACTAGTTCTCGAGTATATTTTTCAAGAATCAGTGTGAACTGGTAATTTGCATGTTGGAGTTTGTATTAGTGAGTTCTGGTATGGCTAAGTTGCTACAAAAAGATTCGAGTTTTGGCAGGAAGCACAGTTTTTCTTGCACGAGCTTTTCAGCTATATTTTTAATATTATTATTATCTTCCTTTTTTTTCTCGTAAAGATGCAAAGGGGTGACCAAATCAACTATATAGAACTATTATTTATATAACATAAACTATAAGTGTATTTGCTAAAGTGGGGAAAAAGATAAAATGTAGATATAGTTTTATATGTAAACTAACCTTTTTCAGTAATTTAGGTTTAAGGTCTTATAAGATTTTGGAGAATGCCAAAAGAAACAGAAATAATTGGGTTATTTGGTTATTGGTTATTAAATGTACTAATTGGAATGTATTTAAAAGTTTAGATATGAAGTGGAAAACTGTAAAATCTTTTATTAGTATGACTAATTTTATGGCTGCAACTGGTTTCACAAAACGTGCTAGCGAAGATAAATATTCAAAAGGTTTCTCAATTAGAGTGTGTAAAATGTGTATTCAGAAAAAATTTAATATAATGCAAGTTTTAAATAAATAAAAACGTAGGAAAAATAGTTCCTAATAATGTCTAAGATCTTATGAGAACGATCTTCTTTTAATTTACTTTCCAAAGAATTGAACCTATAACACACATTTTTAAGAACGTGGAAGTATATCATGAGAAGAAGCAAAAGTAGGAAATGAGTTAACTTTTTTATGGAAGTAATTGTGATAAAAAAAATATATATGATAAATTTAAAAAAAATTGAATAAAAATAAATTTTCTATCTTTGTTGCACTTCTGTAGAAAAACTTAATTGCACGATTATTTAGGATCAGTATAATATCAGACATTTGAGATCAGTTCGCATGTAGATGGTGATTTTTGAGTTCTGTTATATTATTTCAAGATACGTTGTATAAAAACTGCTTTATTTAACAAGGTTGAGCGAAATGCTCGGGACAATAACCTCCGCACGCATGCTTGTATTCATTTTCGTTTCTCCGTTTTGAAATTACGAAAATTTTGAACTAGAAAAGAATCAAATTAAAAGTAACAATTCTCTTAACTTTTATTTATAAAAGGAAATTTAACCAGAACAACAAAATTTTCATCTGAGAAATTTGTGTGATTAACTGCTTTTTTTGAAGAGTTCAACCCCATCTAAAGAAGTGCTTCGAAGGTATTGCCAAACTAACGTTCACAGAAGATTTGGACGTAACTGAGATGAAATCAAGTGAAGGAGAAATTATCCCACTGCCAGATGTGATTCAAACGGCTTTGGCTCGAGGACAAGTTGAGAAATGGTTGGTCGAACTGGAAACCGATATGAAAAAAGCCGTTCATCTAATGGTTCAAAAGTCCATAGAGGACTATCCCAAACGAACTCGAGAAAGTTGGGTAATGTGGCTTGAATTCGACAATTAGAATTTTACTATCTTGATAATATTGTCGAAATAGGTACTGAAATGGCCCGGCCAGTGCATTCAATGTGTGGGCTCGACATTCTGGACCTCTGAGGTTACTCAAGCGATTAAAGACGGTCCTGCAGTATTAAAGGCATATTTGGCTAAATGCAGCAATCAGATAACTAAAATTGTTGATTTGGTTCGAGGCAAACTTAACACACAAAACAGGATCACTTTAGGTAGATACATTTGATTTACATTTAAGACATATAACATTACATTACATACATTGCTAAGATATTGATGCAGCTGAAGGTTACGCATGATTAGTGTGATAAGTGAAACTTAAAATAGGATAGGCATGGTATCTAAATCAGATTTATATGGTTTGCTTCGGGTGCTCCAGATGTTCGAAATAATTTCAGTCTCCCAAATTGCAGAAAAAGCGGAAACAATATATTTTCCAACAGTTCTCATTACCATGAGTTTCACACATTTATTATTTTTATTTGGTTTAAATGCAAATTGTTGCCTACTAAAGAAAAAATATTGGTAATAGTAAGGATAACCGACAACATGATTTTAAACGTATTTAACAAAAGCTGTAACACGCGAATTTGAAAACTAGTTTTTCATAAACGTTAATAATAAAAATTTCTAACAATAATTAACTTGTTTCCAATATTTTAGACAATTAATTTTATAATGCTAATGTGGCTGAGTGGGTATGAAAACTCTTCATACCAAACTACTACTCTCTAATTTTTTGACAAGGTTAAATGCTGTGATTTAATAGATATTTTTCGAAGCATGGAAACCTTTCCACTGAAACCTAACAGCAGCTCAAAACATAGTACTTGAGTAGGTTGTTTCGAACAGTGAATCATGTTTTCTGGGAATAAAAGTTACATAGTTTCAACTATATTTTCTTAAAAAAGATTAATTAGTAAATATTTTCATTTGATTTATAGGTGCTTTGGTCGTCTTGGACGTTCATCAGAGGGACGTTCTTTCTGGCATTGTCGATGCAGGTGTTAAAACCATAAACGACTTTAATTGGTTATGCCAATTAAGATACTATTGGGAGGTAAACTATCTTTTCATAGAAATAATTTTGATATATTCGTACATATTGTGCGGTATTTCAGGAAAATCAGATGGTCACTGCAATGATAAATTCAACTTTAAAATACGGTTACGAATATCTAGGAAACACAGCTAGATTGGTAGTGACCCCTTTAACTGATCGATGTTACCGAACACTATTTGGAGCACTTCATTTGCATTTAGGTAAAATATTAAGTAAATTTTAAATTGTAGCAATTTAATGTGTTCAACCATTCGATACGGATATTTTTTCATATTACTTGTGTATCTGAACTTTATATTTGATTCCTTTATAATTGTTTGTATGTAATTTAGGCATCATATATTTAGTTTTTATTTAGTAAAATTTTTTGGTTTTTTTGGTTGGAGACAACCGCGTTGTCCTTTCTAATAACAATTACGGTTGGCAAAAAAATCTATTCTGAGGAATAATCTGGGAATAATCTGAAATGCGAATGACTTGGACATGCGATGGACTCAAACAAATGTTTTTTTGGTTAAAATGAAAGAGAGTACAAGAAATGTAATATGATGTAATAAGTAACAAAAACATGTTGATTTTCAAAATATAAATTGAAGAAAATTATATTAAATGTCGAAATGTTTTATTGTTTTAATCCTCCCAAGAACGATAATTACAACATTTCCTGATAAAAAAATGTCTATGCCAAAAAGTTTATGAAAAATGTTGCGTCGCAAAATAGATGAAAAACAATTAGGATAGAGAGAGAAAAAGCCAAAAATGTATGTATGTTTTATATTTTAAATTTTTTCGAATTAGGTGGTGCTCCTGAAGGCCCGGCTGGTACAGGAAAAACGGAGACAACAAAAGATCTGGCAAAAGCAGTGGCCAAGCAATGTGTAGTTTTCAACTGTTCAGATGGCCTGGATTATATCGCTTTGGGAAAGTTCTTCAAGGTAAAGTGTATTCAAAAGTAATTCAAGACCTTGAGCCTCTCAGCGTTCATTCGATAGAAAGATGACAAACTATACTTTTTTCTGTCTCACTTGATTTTGTTTAGGCGTTAATAATAATTTTTCTTCAATTTTATCAGAAAATTCATTTATTTTCGTATAATGTGTTTTGGCAATTTTTTTAGGGTTTAGCGTCATGTGGGGCATGGTCATGTTTCGACGAATTCAACCGAATTGATCTGGAAGTGTTGTCGGTGGTTGCTCAGCAAATTTTAACCATTCAAAGAGGAATTAATGCTGGCCAGGAAAAATTGTTTTTCGAGGGAACTGAATTAAAGTTAGATCCCAGCTGCGCTGTATTCATTACTATGAATCCAGGTAATTACTAAATGTATAATGTATGTTCTTTATTCAGGACTATTTATTGCAAACAATAATGTGGCGCACAAAGCGAAGCGAGGAGCTTAAAAGAATGCAAATTAAATACTTCGCAACTTTTCAAGCTAAGCTGAAAACTGAAAATCACATTAAGATTTTTAAGCACCAAGATGTTAAATGGAAAAAACAAGTAAAATTTGTAGACAATTATTTGTATGTATTTAGTTTGGCATTAAAACAAGCAGAAGGCAGTCTAATTAAGTACCCTAAGAATTAGGGTTAAAAAGCGTGTTGTTTTACCCGCGGAACTAATAATTCAATGCTTTTATTGCATAAAAGACAATCTCTGTTTTCTACATTTTTTTTAAATCTATGATATTGATTATGAATTAACAGTGGTAACTAAGTAAGTTTAAAAATTTGATCTTTTCAGGATATGCTGGACGTTCTGAGTTACCTGACAACCTAAAAGCACTGTTCCGATCAGTTGCCATGATGGTACCAGATTATGCGCTCATTTCGGAAATTGAGTTATATGCTTTCGGATTTTTAATCGCTAAACCTCTTGCTATCAAAATTGTTGCTACTTACAGGCTTTGCTCAGAGCAACTCTCCTCACAATGTCATTACGACTATGGTAGGTTATTTAATAATAAGGAAATCGCTGCTTTAATTAAATTGTACTATTAAATAAAATGTTGAAGTTATTACTAATCCTGGTATGTAGATGTTAAATGTTACCTGATGGTGTTGTCTCAGATGCAAAGAGAGATTAGTCATCAACATATAGGCTTTCCTGAATGATGGTTTATTTTAGTTATATTTTACATGTTCTTAATATACAAATGAAGAGTTTTTGAGTTCAAACAATCTAAATGAAAGACATTTTTCGCGGGGTTTTTCGGGTTTATTAAGCGCACTTCTGCTTCTTTCAGAATATAAAAACAAATTAATTTTTATTTAATCCAGGGAGATTATAAAGGAGACAATGGCATGCTCTATTGATGTTTATAAACAGTATTAGCGCAATGTAAAAATGCATATTACTTTTACTTTTTTAAATAATTAGAAAGTGCAACACAATAAAGATGAAATGATTGAAATTAATAATATGCGTTAAAGAAAAGTCCGAATTGAATTTTAAACAATCATATTTTTTTGAAGCCAGATTTCATAATTTTTGTGATAATTGATTGTGAATTGGGATATGTTTTTCTATTCGTACATTTTGTAGAGCTCGTGACTCTGGCCCCCCAAATATTAGAATTCCTGCTCTTTCAAAATCAAAATCGTCTATAGTCTATAGTAACATTTTGCTCAATTCCGTCTCTTCCCTTTGTTCTTGTACTTGTCATGTACTTTGCTTTTATTCAACTTTTAGACCAACATGTCAGTTAGCTTAAAAAAAGTTTCCAACTTAAAAAAACGTCTTTACTGTATTGCTTCATTATGTATATTTATCAGAAAACGATTATGAATTAAAATTTCATAAAAAATTGCGAAAAAATATTTTCTAGGAATGAGGGCAGTTAAGTCAGTATTGCGAGCTGCAGGAGCCCTCAAATTGCGATACCCAGATGAAAAAGAAGACATTCTGGTTCTGAGATCTATCAAAGACGTTAATCTGGCAAAATTCCTTTATCAGGATGTCCCACTTTTCCAGGTGATTATTCGCAGAATACTTCATCCAAGGTAGCACATTTTCATGACTTTTCAGGGCATAACTTCGGATCTATTCCCTGGAGTTATTTTGCCTGAGCCTGACTATGTGATACTGAATAAAGCAGTGGAAGACACTTGCAAAACGATGAATGTGCAGTGTGTGCCAGTTTTTTTGGAAAAAGTTCAACAGCTGTACGAAATGATTGTCGTTCGTCACGGCTTAATGATCGTCGGTATGCCATTTGCTGGCAAAACCACTTGCTACAGAGTACTAGCAAATGCATTGGCATTGATAGAAGAAAGAGTAAGTATATTCCTTCTTTAATGCAGCATATTTTTCGAATAAAAGTTTTTGCTGTATGTTTTATTGATGGACGCTTCTGGTCATGTATCGGAAACCATTGGCCATAGTAACTTGGGCTAGATATTTTCAGAATTAAGGAGAACACGAAAAATTGAGACCCGAGAACTCATTCAGATTGGGAATATTGAAGTTCCACGTATCTGCAATAATTCTCATATTTCTCTAGTTTCTCTGAATTCATTCATTCATTTTTGCAAGATTTTCAAATTAAAAATATTTTAACTTATATCTAGGTTATCATGTTAGTTTGGGTTAGTTTGGGTTAACATCACGTTAAACATTTGTTTAAATTAAACGTTTTTCATTCTTAGTATATTAATTTCAAAGGACGTTTCTCGCTATTTGTATGACCGAGAAAATCATTCAGTTATAAATATATTTGCTACCTATCTAACTAATAAATGCGTGACCATTAAAATGTTTAAATAAAGCTTCTGCTACTAGCGTTTTCTTCGCCAAAAATATACTTTTTTTTGAAAAAATTTCACTTTTATAGTAATATCAAAATTACATCGCAGGATTAAATTTCTTATGCGACTAGCTTATGCGGCTAAACAACAAGATAGAGTAGGCGTCAATACTTGGAAGGAAGATGCAGCAAAAAGTCTTATTCACGTTTCGGTTTTCCGTATATTATAAATAAATAGAGAAAAATTTCGTCGGTATCACCCGAGCAAGAAATCATGTAAGATTTTGCAAATTTCGAGGTTTGGCACCCCCAGAACTGGTTTCGCGGTCGCTAATTTCAGGCTGAACCCAGCTGATGAGAGCTAATAGGCTCGAAACTGGTCCTGGGGGTGCCTGAGGTTAGCGAACCCCGAAACTTGCACTATCTTACATTATAAATAAAATTGTAAAAACTTCTCAAATAAGCAGCATTAAAATTGACTACAAAATTCCTAAGAAATTATTGCAGTCATTTTATTTAAACAGTTTCAATGGTTCAGTTTGTTATCTTTACTAGCCCATTTCTATTATGTTCAATCGAGCTAATAAAGTTTCTAAAATACATCATTATCTTGAATTTAGTTTCAATAATATTCTTTGAGGATTTTTAGTAACGAAAATGTCGTTCTATAATGTATGTGTTATGTATGTAAATAATTAATGTTTATAGGGAGGTATGGATGAACATCGCGCTATTTATACAATAATGAATCCGAAATCGATTACAATGGGCCAGTTGTATGGACAGTTTGATCCAGTGTCCCATGAATGGTCGGATGGCATCTTAGCAGTTAGTTTTAGACAATTTGCCATGTCTACCAGCGATGATAGGTAAATACCATATACATATTTTGATTACCTATTTCTTTAATTTTATATATTCAAATGTTCATCACTAATTTACAAATATAGAGCATGTGCTCTATTTGAAACACCAAATAGCATATTAAAAACTATATGGCTCTCTAAGCAGCTGTTTCCTATATCTGATAAATCGGTTTCCTATATCTGATAAATTTAATTGTAATTGACATTAGGAAGGGATCTGGAAATGGAAAAGTACTTAGTTTTCTTCCTAATAAAGTTAACTCCAGGCAAATTATAAAAATTCGGCGAAATCAACGGAAAGCTTTCGATTTACTTTCCATTAGAAATCTTTATACGTGTGTGCGAATGCTTAAATATGCATTCTCATTTGGCGCTGCAAACTTAAATAAATGCCATAATGGTGCAAAAATATTAAAATAAATGATATAAAGCGAATCTTGAATTTTAGAAAATGGCTAATTTTCGATGGTCCCGTTGATGCCGTCTGGATTGAAAACATGAATACCGTACTCGACGACAATAAAAAATTGTGCCTGATGTCTGGAGAAATTATACAATTATCCAACTCCACCAATCTTATATTTGAACCGATGGACTTGGATGTGGCGTCACCAGCTACTGTACGTTGCAATCGAACGACTTGAGCATTAAATATGTATTATTTTACCATGTAGGTGTCAAGATGTGGAATGATTTATATGGAACCCAAGTCTTTAGGATGGAAGCCTCTACTATCTTCGTGGTTGAATACTTTGCCACCGTTTATCAATAACGATTTCTATAAAACAATGATTTTCAATCTATTTGTACGATTTTGCAAGCCTTTGCTGTGGCTTCTTCGAAAAGGTGGTGTAAGGGTGAGTTATATTAAATCTTAAATATTTCAGAGAAAAGTTTTAATCTGCGTTAAAAATAAAAATAATGAAAGCGTGCTTAATCTGCGTAAATTCGATTCACGCGTTCTTATATTCTAGAGTGATCTCGATTATTCTATTCTCTTCATCTCGATTGGGTCTAAGTTTAAGCTGCGAATGAAAAAAAAGAAACTTGGTTGCTTCATTAAAACATCTTAGTCTTAGATAGGAACAAATTTACAGCGAATTTCGTTAAAAAAAAATTTCGGAGATTAGATACAGTTTTTTCCTTAATATGGGATAATTTTTTTCGTAATGAAACTTCGATCAGATTCAGTATTGTTTTGGTGCGGTTTTATAAACTAATAAAAGTAATTGAACGTCTAATAAATCTTTTTTTTTAATTTCCGTTTGGTCTGAGATCTGATACGGCAATTTTAAGCATTTTTCTACTGTTTGATAGGCCTAAATGATTTGATTGGAAATTAACCTTTTAAGATTACTTAATCTTGATGCCAACCATTCAAATTATCACACGAAATATTTCTCATATGAAGGAATATAAATAAAAAAATAATTTAATCCGTTTTTGGATATAATCAAAGTAACATTTGTTGCAAAAATCTTGCAATGACAAGATGTTTCACTCAAAAATTGCAATATATAAGAACAAAGCTTGACTTTACGTTGACACATATATGAACACACCAAAAAACTCGAATATTAATGAAACAGCAAACCATTAACAAAAACCGAGATTTATACTTGATGTAAACCAAATCGCGCCGACTTTTCACATCGAACAAAACATCGATTGAACTTAGAAGATTCGTTTAACGAAAAATTACCGAAATCTGACATTCCGGAGATGCAAATAAATGGAATATATTTACAAATCTTCAAAGATAATGTCAATAAATAATATATAATTTGTATTTGCATTGTAGTAAATATAATTTGTATTTGCAATTTGCATATCTACTTCTTAATATATGTACTCAGATTGTATACCTAACTAATCGTAGAATAAAAATTAATTTATGACCAGTTATTTCAGATTATTAAAAAAAAACGATATGTATATATGTATTCATATATTCAAAATGCGGCAGATTACGTTTGTATGCTTTAGAGCAATATTTATTGTTATAGTTTACTGTAGGTAGAACAGCGAACGACAAATCTAAAGATTTTTTAAAATTAAATTATTATAATTAAACACAAACAATAATTTGAGTAGATCTATTAGATCTCTGGAATTTTTTTCGAGTGATGAGCAATATAACACACCAGATTTAACCAGTTGGATTTCTAATACTTTTCTACTTTTCGATAGCTGATTTGTATAAATAAATTTAAAAGAATCTATCGTATTTTTGCAGGAAATTGCTTCAACCTCGGATCATAACTTAGTTCGAGCTGCAATGAATCTATTTGATTGCTTCATGGACGATTTTTACGACGACAAATACCGGGATCAAGTGTCCGATTTGGATGTACGAGCTCAAATAGAGGGATCTTTCTTTTTCGCTTGCATTTGGTCTTTGGGTGGTACTTTGGATAATCACAGTCGCTTGAAATTCAATGTATTATTCCGAGCTTTGCTTGAAAGAGAATTTCCGCAGAAAATTGCAGCGGAGTTAGAAATTCCATTCGAAGTAAGCAAGCCGGACAAACCGTACATATTTACATTGCCTGTTGGTGAAACCGTCTTTGATTATCGGTTTATTAAAGAGGTAAGTTAATGGCTTCTGATTTTTAAGTATAAATGTATCAATCGAGCAAAATAAACTAATAGTGTACAAAATGATTTAACGAAAGTTTAAACGCAATTAAAGTCCAGACGAAATAATCAAATTAAAAGTTTTGTTCCACGTACAACCTTGAAAGATCTCAAACAATTAACACTGCAAAAACTTCAGTTATAAGTAACTAATGAAAATGTATCGGAATATTTTCTGAAACATTAAATTAAATCATATGACTTTCTAGGGCAAAGGAAAATGGAAACTTTGGTCTGATGAGCTGATGAATGCACCACCAATTCCACGTGATATACCGGTAAACCAAATAATTGTGACCACAGTTGAGACTATCAGAGGTATCGCAGTGATGCAATTATTGGTGCAACATCAAAAGTCAATGATGCTTATTGGGCCGACTGGAACTGGAAAATCCGTTTATGTTACGGTACTGTTATTCAATGCTTTTGCATTAATTGCTGGTTCATTACTTTAATTTGTAGGACTTTCTGTTGAAAAAGAATGACACGAAAACTTACATTCCGTTGTTTATTAATTTCTCGGCTCAGACAACGGCAAATCAAACTCAGAATATAATAATGGCAAAACTGGATAAAAGGAGAAAAGGTATTGATTACTTCTAGCACAAAAGTTTTGTCGGACGTCGAAAATAACGTCGTCTTTTAAAAATTATACAAAAAGTGCCATCTGAAAGGTAACCAATTAATGAAATAAATCACACTTATTTAAGCAAAAATTTGGAACCTTGGAGTCGGACTGAAATATAATTTACTTAATAAGTATTTTGTATTGTATTCATATCAGTTTTTAACTTATTCTTTTTATTATGTAATAATTCACTCATTAAAGAAAGAATGTCTCCACGCAGTTCGAATTTCAATTTGATATAATATCAAACTCAGGAACTTTTAACTGAAAAGCTGTGGAAAGGCACTTGAAAGCATCGAAATAATTCCAGAGATACCTAAAATATAGCGAGAAAGATATCAAATAACTTTCCGTCTAAAATTACTAACTTTAAGCCACTGGAATTTAATTAAATTTACAACGGTAAACTCAAAATAAATCAATCTTCTAAAACCACCTATGATCAGAAATAGCAGCTTAGTGTCGTGTTCAAGAAATTATTTTCTGGGGGAAATCACTGGCAATAATATAATACTTTGAAATTATTTCAGTCAATTTCAAGTTTCAAGCAGTTTGAAGATACA